GAGTACATGAAGTCCTGTGTATAAAGCTATGGCCTTTTGCACACGGCTTTCAGTTTTTTCTATCTTCTCTCTACTGTTTGAAAAATATTCTTTAATTTTGATGAGTAGAAGATCTAAAGGCTGTCAAAACCTGAAGAAAATGTTTACCTGGCCCAGCTCTGAGATTTTGATGCTACGTAGTCTCTCCCTATTAAATGCCTACAAAAACTAACTGCAACAACTTGGTGAAAAGTATTTGGTTTGGTTGCCTTATGAGGTTCCAGGTAAAAATTAACTTGTGTGATAAGCCAACAAAAAAATGTGTGACAGCCTGTCTTGTTACTATTCCAACAGCATAACCAATTTGAATCTCTGTAACTTAGCTTGTTATTGATAGAAATTGATGGGCAAAAAATGTTTCCATGAAAATATACTGGTAAAGGGACAAAGAACCAAAATAGCAAGTTCCTTGGGTAGATGGAAAATATTAATGCGCAACTATACGAGAATCAGAACAGAAATTAATAACAATGGAGTCCTGTGTGTGTGCGCGTGCATGCATACAAATATATATATTTGTGTGTAGAATATACACTGAAGGCTATGTGTATGTATAGGCTATATGTGTGCATGTGTATAATAAAATACAAATGCATACAGTGGAATATTTTCCATTCCACCAACAATATTCTAACCAGAAACAGTAGATATTTTTCATCAAAATATCTTTTTCTATGGAACATTCCTTTTTTGATTATGAGAAACATTTACATTTTTATTGAAATATTTGTTTTTGTTTTAAATGTTGTTTTTGAAACCAAAAATTAACTTAAAAGGCTTAGGTTTTGATTTCTGGGGTTTTTTTCCCCCCTTTTTGCCTGCTATTATTCTCTCTTTTTCTATTGCTGGTGGAGAAAGGCCGAAAAGAAAGAAAGAGGCAAAAACCCATACAACTTTGCAGATTAATACTTGTTAATTTGTTGAAAAAAAATTCAAAGAAGTCAGTGAAAAAATTACAAAAAATATTTACCTTTTTTGTATTTATCTTTTTTCGTAAACATGGTGAAGTTTTCTGATTGGTTATGATTCCAGAGCTTTACTGTATTATCTAGACCAGTATTTCTCAATCTTTTTAAACTCAAGGTGTCCTTTGTTAGACTAAAGGCACCTCTCAGAAAATGAGCTTTCACTCATTTAACTATAGGAATATAACAGAGCAATTAATTCTTCTGATCAGAGAACTCAGACCACAGTAGGGAAGAATATTTTTGACATTATAGATGGCTAGTTGAAATCTTTGAGTTTATCTTGTGAATCATGTGTAGCCGTTTACACCTAATATTGTGTGGTACGCTTCAAAGGATCTTAAGGTTTGCTGTGGCACCCTGGGCTAGACTGAGCACCTAGATTCCCTTCAGCCTATGCATTGCACGTTGGGGTAGGCTAGCCAAATGAGGCTGGGGAGCAGAGACAATTCACTAGACCAGGAGTGACCAAGGTACAGCCTGTGGACTGGATCTGGCCCATGGAATTGTCATCTGGCCCACAGGGCTGGAAGTTTGGTGGTGGGAGGATTTATAGCTGCTGCAGCTTCTAGAGTTGCAGCACTTAACATTGCCACTGGCAAATTCCAGTTCTACAGGCCAGATAGCGTGGCGTTACACTCTGGATCTGGCCCACAGACTGGCTCCATGCTACACATCTGGCCTATGGGGTCTTCTGAGTGGGGTACCACTGCACTAGACTAATGAGCATCTATTTTTGTCATGTCATTCTGTGTCTGTGTCTGTGTGGATGCATGTACATGGGAGACTTTCAAAGGGCTTGAAGTAAGGTTGTATGAGGTAACTGAGAAAGAGAATACAGAATGGCATAAAGGCTAAGGACAGACAATCACAAATCTTGAGGTTGAATCAATTCAGTCTTCATAAATTAATCTAAGCTACGTAGACTGAACCAATAAGACGTGAAAAGACATTCACTTTTGATTCCAGAAATGCAGAGACATGTCTGCAATGACCCAGACCAGGCACCAGAGGGCACTAGAGGCTGAGTTGTTACAAGCTTGGACCTCAAACTGACCAATCATCCACCATAGGTATAGGCTTCTGCCAAGCAGCTGACAACTAAGGAAGGAGAGCTGTGTGTGTCCCCTTGGCTAGGGACAGATGTTACACACAAACCAATATAAATGATTGGAAACCAGTTCAGATCTGTAATACAACAGAAGTTCAGTGCACATTATCCACTTTCAAAGTGGCCCAAACCAATTTAAGGTAAACCTAGATGGATCAGGTTATCAAACTTGATTGATTTAGGTTAAATTAGTTTATTGAACTTCTGTCCCAGATCCTCTCCAGATTCAAGTTAACTTATAGTCCTCCAGTATCCCAGGATGATTTGCATCTCCCCTTGTAAAGCGCCCCTCACAGGATGGGCAGGTTAGCCTTGACCCAAGCTGTCTGCTCCAGCAGAGCAGGGAGGCCCTGGCTTCTGCTCTGGGCCACTGGAGACACATGGCTGCATTTCTGGAATCAAAAGTCAATGTCTATTCACTTGCTTATCAGTTCAGTCTGTGCAGCTTAGGCTAACCTATGAAGATTGAATTGATTCAACCTCAAGCTTTTTGATTGTCTGTACTTAGCCCTTATGTTTATAATGCTTTTGATCTGCTTTCATTTGCTTTCCCTTCAAGGTATGCTGCTTCCTCCACACAATGTGACACTAACATCTGAAAATTTCCACATTTTCTTGAGATGGGAGCCAGGTCATGGTTCACACAGTGGAAACCAGTATGAGGTTGAGTCTTGCAGCAGGTATGTCATAGCACAAAAGGCAGAAATAGAGCAGGGAAAGGGAGTGGGTATTTCGGTCCCCACTGTTTTGAAATCCTTTGCAGGTAGCTTTGGGTATTTTTACCCCTTTCTAACTCTTCTGTATGTGAGGCCTCTGGGCAGAGGAGAGGGACAGAGCAGGAATCTCAGGGTGCCAGGGCAATCGAAGGATTGTGTTTAAATACACATACACATATTCTCTGATGCTTTCCACTTGGCCCAAAAGGTCATGGAAGAGGTAGGAAGATGGAGGAGAGACTCTCTTGTCTGCTTCCTCTCCAGTCCAAAATACTGACACTTTCCATCCAAGATAAGTCTTTCCTTTTTAAGATGCTCCCTTTCCAAGGAAGGTAAAGAAGGAGGAAGAGATGGGAAAGGAAGGGTACTGATGGAATCTTTGCAGTTTCTTACTGCAGCTACCTCCACAGGTCTTCCAAATGGACTAAGGTGGACACTTGCTGGAAGAACAGCACCAGATCGTTCTGGACATGTAAACTGTTTTTTGAAGACATACATATCCTCTACTGGGCCAGGGTGAGAGCAGTGAATGGAGTCAATGTGTCTAAATGGGTCATCTCCAATGAATTGCAGCCATACAGAGACAGTAAGCACCTTTTGGAGTGGATGTATGAATAGGAAGATTTTTGGGCAGGTTCCTGCCCTTGCTGGGGGACAAAGATGGGAGGGACCTTTGGGGAGGTGGCAGTGATGGAGACATGGAAGGGAATCCTGTGCAAGGGTTCAAGAAAGGTTATAGTGACTTAGACCAGTGGAAATGTGTGGCGATTTTAGTGGCAGTGCATTAGACTGGAGATGTAGAGGAAGGTGAAAAGCAAGGAGGACAGGGAGATTATTCCAAGGAGGCAGGGAGATTACATTCAGATGTTACTGATGCCTAGAAAAGGATTATAAAAGAGGAAAAGACAGAGCTTAGAAATATGAAAGTGAATGAAGATGAGGAATGAGGTGGGGAACAAGCACAGATTTTGCAGGGGGTAGGGGCTTTGGGGGGAATGGAGAGGGTGGGAGGACAGGACACTTCTACAGACAGGGAAAATAATTTACCTAAGCAGACATTGGAAGAATGGCCAATTAGAAAACCAGGAGAGCAGAATATGAATAATATCCAGGGTGCCACACAGACAGGGAGGAGCATGAGAACAGGGAAGATGTCTTCATATGGACCTGAAGGAGATGTTGGAGGGATTTCAGTGGAGTATAGAGGTGGAAGGAAGGAAAAAGTTTTTTACAGGACACGGGAGTTAGAGGAGAGACTCCAGCAGAGAGACAATAGATGGCCCATAGTAGCAGTTGGGTTGGGGGGAAGAATCAGCCAAAGGTTTGTTATTGACTGAAACTTGACAAAGCAATGCAAGGCAGACTACTAAACAACTGGCATGAGCTAGCCAGGCTGAGTTCAGTATGCTGGAGGAGACTTGTGGGAGCCATAAACATTTCATTTTTCTCTGGCTACGTGTTCCTTCCAAGTGAAGTGTGGAATAAACTAGGATGAAATGAAAAGATTAAGTCCTATGTGAGACAGAACAACACAAAATAGATTTTGTGACTGCATTTACTCACAGGGGAGTAATGTCTCTGGAAAGGCTGGGATTTATTGGTGGACCAATGGGGAGTTGAATAATCAACTCAATTAATTCACCTCTCCCATAGGAGAGAATCAGAGCTGAGGGTCTATACTCTCATGCAGTGGATAAGCATGAACACTGACTTCTAGGGCTGGTGAAAGTTTTCTACTGAGGGTTTTGTTTTTTTTCCAACTGAAAATCATTTCTGATGAAGTGGAAGCCCCAGGAGTTTGTATGCAAACAGAGCTAAGCCTTGGCTGTCCTTGAAAATTAGATTTATATTGTAACTCCAGATCTAAAATGTAAAGCCATGAGGGTGATGAGCAGAGATTGGTTCTTGGGATAACATGGGTAAGACCATGAGCTAATGAGTCCCACTGTCACATTAAAAAAATCCCCAGAGTTTTTTACCTCAAAATGCAACTTCTTTGAATCTTAAATTCCATGTGGGTTTCAAACTTGCTACAGACACCCACAGACAAAGTAGGTTTAATGAGGATGGAGATTAGTCTTATTTGAAAAGAATGGGGCAGGGGAGCAGAGAAGAGGAGATAAGGGAGAGCTGTTTGAAAATCTGAGACGGTTGCTGCAGCTTCTGACTCTGGGTTTCATGTACCATGGTGGCCACCAGGTGGGCCAACCTTTCAGACCCATAGTGTTAGAGGAGGTAGTTTCCAATCGATAGAAATCTACAGAGATAGCGACTGGCATAAAGTGAAGAATTATCCTGACAACTGTCTTGTCTTGTTTATATTCACAGCAATCGTGGGTCCCCTTAAACTGATGCTGTGGTCACAAGATCAGAATCTTACTGTAGATATCTCCATACCACTTACTCCCTATCAAAGGAAAAATGGCTCCTATAAGTCAGTCCAGAAGGTGCTGTCAAAATTGCGGTTCGTACTCAGACTTTATGAAGAAGGTGTTTTCCTCCTCCAAGTAAGTGATATTCACAAGGTGTTAGAGGGACAGGAAGGAGTTGAACCCTTCTGAGTAATTGGCAGAGTGGACAAAATTGGAGGTCAGGTGGGGTGAATATCATAGGATATGTCTATAGGGTGACAGGAAGCATTTTGCTGAACATGCCATGGGGGCATGGACTAGTTCCTAAACCTGCAGTAGAGTATTGACATGAACGTTGAGCTGATTAGTATTCGTGTGCAGCCCAGCACCAACACAATCACACTTGTTCTGGTTCAGAAGCTGATGTAGCTGGGGCAGTGTGATATGTCTCTGTAAGGCAGTGGAATATCTCAGTGCATTGCTGCTTTGTGTTATATAAACATACCCATCAAGGGCAAAGTTTGCTTTAGGTTTGGATGGAAAGATTATAAAAGCACATCTGCTTATCAGAAGCTTGACTGAACTTTCTGAGCTAGAAACATAGGCAAAGAACTTTTTAGAACCAACTAAAAGCACAGAAATGATTGTGTAATGTCATGTGCGCTAAGCAGAAGGTAGGTCAGGGTGGTACCATAGGGTGTTTTTTACATGTGCTCTGGGAGTGGGGGGAGACGGAGGGGGTGCTTCAATTAGAGGGGCTCCAAAAGTTAAAGCACCTCTGCCACCATTTTGAAGCATGGGAATGCTGATACATGAGATGGAGAGGATCTGGCTGGAGCACACTAATTAGCTTGCTTCAGCAGTGTCGATTAATTGAGTCTGCCACAATGTGCTGTAATTACAGCATGTTGGAGCAGCCTCCCCACATGTCTACAGGTACTCATAGAGACTAACTGGGCATGTCTACATGCATGGGCAACTGGTGCCACCTGAGTTGGGGGGAGGGGCATGTGCCCCCCCCCCCCCCCCCCAGGGGCCAATCTCGCTGACTGGGGGGGGGTGATCCCCCGCAGCCAATCTTGTCAACTGGTGTGGGGGGAGGGTGTTCCCCCCGTGGCTGATAATGTCGGCTGGGAAGCACAAGTGGTGCTCCCAGAAGTGCCAGCGGTGCTCCTGGAAGTGCCAGCAGCACTTCACCTGGCGCCTCCACTCCTCAGCCAGCACTTGCAGGGGGGGCACCAGCACTCCTGCCTGCCCCCCCTGCCCACTGACTAAGTGGGGAGCGCTGCCTGTCAGGGGGTGCACCAGCACTCTCAGGGGGTGCACATGTACCCCTGTGCACCCCCTACATGTCACGACTGTCTACATGACATGTTTACTACACATTAGACTAATTAGCTATGCAGTAAATGTCTCGGTGTCTCCATGTGTGCCCCTATTAGGCTGGAGTAGACTAATTTATTCTGCAGCAGGATAGTACTATCCTGCTGTGTAGTTAAAAACACTTTAAAAACTCCACAGCAGCGCATGTGTAGACACTGCCCTGGCTGGCTTGGACATGAGGGTGCTTTGGTGCGAGGGTAGCCCTGAAGCACCTAATCCTGCATGGAAGCTCCAGCTCAACATGCTGCGATCCCAGGTGCACATGCAGATGCGCGTCCTGGAGCAATAAACTCCAGGCCAATAAGCTCTGGAGTTTATCGCTGCGCGTTATTAGGCATGTCTAAATGCGCCCACTTCTTCAAAGAAGCGTGAGCTTTCATAGCCAACAATCTATTTTGTCAGATGTCTTAGCAGACTAACACAGCTGACTGCCTATTTTAAGCTACAGTAATGAAGTGGTTGTGTAGAACAAATTACAGAATCTGAAGAAGTGCAGAAAAAGACTGAAAATAAGCAGCATGGAAAAACTTCCGTCTAGGGAGAAATTGCAGAGCTGGAGTGACTAATTCAGAGAGCTGATGAATAAGACGGGACAAGACAAAGAGGTAGATATATATAGTTATGAACAAGAGTGAGAAGGAAATTCAGGCACTTCTGTTTTCTCTTTCTCATAATGCAGAGAGAAACAAAATGACACTGAAAGAGCAACTCTCAAACAAATAAAAAGAAATGCTTTTGTACACAGTGCATACGTGAAACTTGCTACAAGCTCTTGAGCATAATTAATTTAATAGCTTTTACTTTAATAACTCTAGAGTATTCATGCATGTATTAGGAATGCACTGTAAATGGCAATGAAGAAACAATTAAGTTGTATCATGGAGGACAGTGGTGTCCATCCCATCTGGCCTCACAGCATGGGTGAGTGGCACAGAGTTGGCCTGTGGGCTAGATTCAGCATAGAATTGGCACATGGGAATGGTCTTTGAGCGCAATCTGGTGCCATATCATCCCCCCAGGCCTGAAAATTTTGTGGCAGGGGAGCAGTGGCAGCAGTAGTTGTTATTTTCCTAGAGTCATAGTAATAAACACTGCCAAATTTTTGGACCCATGGAGAGCCCCATGGGCCAGATGACATGGCTCCAGGGGAGAGATCCAGCCTGCAGGTTGTAGGTTGAGTACCACTGATCTAGGCTAAAAATGTACATGCATCAGGACACAAGTCAGCCCTTGATTACCTACTGTTACAAAGACACTAAGGGCAGAAACCTATTTTACTTTATGCAGCTGAATGGTATATATGCAGCCATGTAACTGTTTTTTGGCAGGAAGAGCCTCCCATGGTTTAGTCCAGTAGCATAACGATTAGGGCCCTTGCCTGGGGAATGGAAGGTCCAGGTTCTGAGTTCTCCCTCCCTCACTCAGAGGCAGTTTGAACCTGCATTCCCTGCTTCCCTACAGGTTTGGGATTATTCAGCCCTCACTTCAGCCCTTCCCTTGAAACTGATTTCCTGAGCAGCTAAAAGAAGGAGATATGTAAGGCCAATGGATGGTAGTGGGTGTGTAATACAGTAAGATAGATGCTGCCCTGGGTGGGAAGAGGCCCTGGGTTTTATCATGGGACCTTGGTCCAATGCGAAAGAACCTTTCCCACTTCTCTATCCATTTTATCCAGTGAATATGAAATGCAAGGTGCAGTAATCCAATAAGCACATTGTCAGAAAATTGTCTGTTATGGAAGTTTTAAACTTTCTGTAAAAGCATCTGATGCTTCCCCCTGGAGACTGGACTAGCTGAAACTTTGGAGTGATCCATTGTTTCAATTCTGTGTTACTATATTGACCAAGGCTTTCTATTTAAGGCTATTATACTATGTTCGGCAGTCAGATGACGCAAACACTCTATGAGGGCCATGGAGTGAGCATCTCGCTTGGTAGAGTAGTTGCCAGGTAGCCAATAGGCAGATGCTATCATGATAATGTATCCTACTCTCTTTTAAGGTGATCTGTAAGCCAAAGGGCAAGAAAACTCAGCACACATTTCAGTACTTGAAACCAAATACCAATTACTGCATCAGAGCCAGAGAAGAGGATTCAGCCAAAAGCAAAGAGGCAGTACAATGTACCAAGACAAAACTCAGTCCACGAAGTAAGAGGTTTCATGGATATTGCTACTGCTGCACTTCCCTTTTAGACTTTTGTTCTAAGTCTCAGGAATAAGAGGGGTCATGGGCAATGCCAATGAGTACAGCATGGAAGGTGTGGAGTTGTTGAGAAGGGAGAGCAATCCTCTGGCCTTCCTGAAGTTAAGTGCGTGCAGAGAGCCCTGTGAGGATACAGCACTATTGCAAGAGTGCAGCATTAGGCCCCTGGCAGACGTTACACATAAGATTTGATTAACCAGTTAATCACATCTTAAATAGTGACCCAAGCACACATTCATGCAGTTAATAGCACAATAAAACGGAATAAACCACAAAGTTCTTTATACAAAATCTGTGCAATAACTTTGTGACTGGTTCCTATCATACCTTACATTGAATGTGTGGCCAAAGTGATCAGCTGACAGGGGCTCCCAACCTCAGAAGTACATTCAAGCCAAGGTCTCTGGTGCACCCCTGAGGCTGGGAGCAGCAGTCATACTGGGGGTCCCAGCCTCAGGGTCGCATCAGAGCCCTTGATTCAGACACGTTCATAAAGCTGGGAGCCCTGAACAACTGATTGGATTGTACTTGCTAGCGCAGGGGGAGTCCAGGATCATGATCCCGGCTCCCCCAGTACTAGCAATGTGGTGCAATTGGGATCAGATCTCCAGTTCCACAACCATTCCTCCTACTGTGCACATGTAGCAAGGTAGGTTGCATAATTGTTGGGATTGTGGATCAGATTCCATTGCGCCTTTCACTGAACATCTGCCAGGGGCCTTAAACCCTGGATTCTGCAGTGTGCCCTTGGGAGTTGTTCACAGGCAGGTGGGGATTCTAAGTCATGTACTTCCTGGGTATGGCCCCTTATGAATGGTAAGGACTTCATTAGCGGCATGTTTTGCCCTCCTTACTTGTATTGTAAAATAATGTTCAAGGGCTAAAGTCCTTCCACCCACATTTTAGAGCATCCAGCTATTGAATAACAGACAACCCTCCAGCCATCTGGGTGAACTTCTGCCCATCATGTCTGGAAAGAAGAGGGAGCTACAAAGGATGCAAGAGTGACTTGATGCCAGTAAGATGAGACTGGTTTTCATGCAATACCTGCCCATGGCTCAACCACAAGATTGTGATTGTGTCCTGCTTGATGATGGAGTGGGAAGAGGACTTTGTTAATTAGCTACATCTGCTCACAGAGCCTGGGCACCAGACTGGGATTAAAATACTGGGGAGTAGAAGAAAGACAGTTCCTGTTCCTGTGCTCAAAGCAGGGGGTGAGATGCTCTTCCTTACTGAGGGGATATGCACTCTCTCAGCCTTGCTTGGAGTTCCCCTATAACTCCTCTTTCTCCTTGGTTGGACCAGTAAGATCCCCTGCTCCTGTTCTGCGTTTGTATTAATCACTGTCCAAACCTGACTTGTTGTGATGGGAACATGGAGAACCCCCTGCTTTGGTGGAACTTGCACTCTGCTGCCAAGAGATGTCTTATATCTGTCAGGCTGGTCAAACCCCAGAGGCAGGTCTCCTTCATCCCTTTCATGTCTTCTCCCTCACAAACTATTCTGGACCTTTTGCAGATTTCCTCTGGGACCTGGTTGTTGCTCTGATTGTCTTCACAGTGCTGCTTCTGCTGGGTGCAGCTGGCTTGTACTTCCTCAAACTCTATGTGTATCCAAGCATCTCAGAAATACCCTTCCCCAGAGTTCTGGTGAGTGAATGACCACCCTTTTTCTCCTCTCACAGGTACCAGGAAATGAAAGTGAATGGCTCAGTTTCTGAGGATTGTTGGTTTGGCTGTGTTGCATATCCCTAACCCTATGATTCTTCATTTAGAGAGTGCCTTCTGCTTTAGAGCTTGCAGACGTGTGGTTGCTCTGTTGCATTGTGTGTACTGATGCTGATGTTTGTCATAACGAGGAATGTGACTGAGCAGAGAACCTCTCTTGAGGAAGGAGACACCAGATGTGTGGAGAATAACAAAGAGAGCATAGATCATGCTTTACTAAAGCAGTGGAAATCTAGTGGAAATTGTAGAGCTATGCAGACTGCTAACCTACAAGAGACATCCAATGTTTCAGTGTGCACAGACACCCAGTGATGTGCTTATCTATCTGATCTAAGGAAACTTTCACAACTTCCAGAATCTGCAAAAGTGTGCTGGAAGTCTCCTGAGACCAAGGTTTTCCATGGAAATGCCCCAAGAGCTGCTTTCCTCATTATAGTTAAGAACTTCCACATTTAGCAGAGTCCAGAAAGCAGAAGACTTAAAGAGCCACTTCTAATTTCAGAGTATTCTAGGTGCAGTCTAAGTAGGCAGAGCAGGGGGCTGACTTGGACATGCCAGACTGTTTGTAGAATGGAGTCTATCCCATACTATCCCCACCCCAGTGGGGAACAGGCTTCAGATGTGTTCTACATCAAAACCAAATGAGGCATGCAAACACAACAGAGGTCATATACATAACTGAGTTGGCAGAATCACCCATCCCAATTTTAAGACAGTCCCTATTATTCTCCTGTTCTGAGGCACCTTTTGTACTGAGGATTATTGCTCCATCTATTTGTGTCTATAGGAAATAAATCTTTTAACCTGAAACCAATACCTGTGTAGTAACTAGGAAGACAAAAATGCAAAAAAAATAACTGATCTTTGCTGGCAATCAGCCATGGGAGAAGCACTTTAATAAACAAATCACTCTGCGGTGTCTCCTGGGACTTACAATTTAACCAGACAGCCCCTTTACCTTGTGTTTATACCTTGTGTTGCTGCCATTATCATTATGAGTGTTTTGACAGCGGTCATTTTTGTGACACTTGTTGTTTTTACATGTGTGTCCCTGTTATTACCTTGCATTAATTTATTGTTCATTTTTGGCAGACTGTTCTGAATGAAGAACCGAACATGAAGGTCTGCACCAAGGCATCTGCCTGTGACCTTGAAGGTGACTCGTTCTCTCTGCTTTCAGTGACTGGGCTTTCCTCCACAAGTCACTTCACAATAGAGCAGAAAAAAACCCAAACCCAGCTGCTTCCAAGAGGCTACCATGCCCAGAAAGTGGATGAGTACTGTGCCAATGGGTTTGACCTTGTCTACCACGATAGTAAGACTTCTTGTAGTTCCTCCAACAAGCTGAGCTTTGCTGGTGCTGTAGACTCTGAAGCCTCTTTATCATCAGCAGGACTGGTAAAGGGTAGTGATTCAAGTGAAGGACAGTACATGTCCGCTTTGAAGACCCAGCTTCCTGACGGCTTCCTGGTGTCTCCTAAGAAGCCATCTCCAGTGTCCACAGTCCTGGTCCAGGATGGTTATACAAGTGACAGTCACTACCAGACTGGTTCAGGGACCCCGACTCCTTTGAACCTCCAGATTTATTCCAAACGTACATCTCTGGTGTCAGAAAGCATCAACAGTATCCCATCATATCACTCAGGTGCAACCTTCTCTAAGGATCTTAAAAAGAAAATTAGTAGCATGAGGACAGAGTGGCCACCTCTTTGCTGGGTAGGTATTCCTCTCAGCTCTGTGAAACTGCAGGCCAGTGAGAAGACTGGAGGCCACCTTGTTCCATCTCTTGGGGATTTGTGTAAATGCAGCCCTCCAACAATGAAGGACTACAGTGTGCAAAAAGCAAGCCTGGGTCAGAGTGCCAAAGCATGCCAGGAGTACCTGCCTGTGAGTCAAGAGCAGTGTGATCTCTTGGAACATACAGACTGTAGTAATGATGCTAGTAGTGACTCATCCCCAGAGGCTAACAGCACTACGAAAAAGACTTCCTTTGGCTATGAGTTACACCCTCAGGCCTGGTCCTGTACCCAGTGATGATGAATCTGGGGAGACGGCACCAGGGTATAGGGAGATTTCCCACGTGTTTATTCACAACAAGTGGGCTTGACTCTCATCTTGTATTATGGTATAAAACTGTGAAAAGCTTTGCACAGTGGGATCAGACTCTGGAATCAGGTCCAAACCAAAACCCAGCTCCCAGTCTAGAAATCTGCATTGCCCGAGTTGGATTTTCACTGCTGGGATGATGATACTTGGGTAGTTATCCAACAGAGATAAATTTGAGCTGTGAATTACTTAGGTGTACGATTTTGGTGCCAGGCCACCTACAGTTGAAATTCAGTCAGGCTCATGGTTTTTTCTGAAGTTCCAAGTGAGTTTTTGAGTCCATCTGAACATGATATATAAAGTAAGTAGAAAAGAAGGGAAAAGCTCACAAAATAACTGTAATTCTCTTACAGTTTTTGTGACAGATATGCTGGAAGTGTCCAGATGAGTGCACACGTGTGGATTGTGGTGCCTCAAAACTATTTGAAGCACGACAAACCGTAAGTGGCAAATTTGCAGCATGGCACCAAAATTTGATACTGAAAATTCTTTGTATAAAAAAAAACAAACAAAAAACCACTGCAAAACCCCCACAAACCTGTCATGGCTCATGCTCCAGGAGTGTGCACTAGAGCAACTGGAGGCTGGGTCCTCCAGGGAGACGTTCTGGCTGACAGCTAGAGTGTCTCCACTGCTTTAGGTGTCCACCAGCTCCTTCAGCATGCCAGGAGCTGGGAGGAGTGGAGAAAGAGCGGGAATGGGGAAACAGCTACAGGGGCATTTTGCCCTGCAGCAAACCTCATGTGCAGGGATGTGCATGGAGGCAAAAAGCAGCAGCACAAATTTGTGCCGCAGCAAATGCACATCCCTGCATGTGGGGACATGCCCACTCAGCAGGGAATGAATGTTTTCTGTCATATCTGGTGAGACACTGGAAACAGTGTATATATTATGTTGTAAATATTAATTTTATAACAGTAATTTATTATGGAGAAATCTCTTTAACGGCCTCATATTTCTGTGGTATTGGATGTCTCCAGCTCTGCAAATATGAAATAAAACTGTAATATGCTGAAACAAACATAAGAAAAATATACTAGGAAAATCTGGGCATTTCTTCTGGGGAAAGGGAATGATTTACTTTTCAGGACCCAGTTGTGATATGGTTACCCACGACAAGATGATTGCTTCAGTAGCTCTTGTGGTTTTGGAGCCCCCCTCTCAGAATTTGTAGTTATTTTTGGTTGAAAGTAACAGGTTTTGCCTTCTGATTATCTGATCTGCTGCTGT